GATTTGTGGGGCATAAGGGGATATGCCGAGAATATTTTAAACTCTTTGCCAAAAGGGTTGCATCAGCAATCGATCTGCCTGAGTTGGACAAAAAAAAGTTTATTTTTTTTAAATAACCCACCAGGTGGAAGAGAGAGAGTCAAGTCTATATTTAACCTGCACAATACCCATATGCCCCACTTCACTCTCAAAACAGAGTATAAGTATTATATAAGTGTGCTACTCACGTTAGGAACAACTTGGTCATCTCGCCAAAGACGCCAAACTTGTCGAGGCTGCGCGAGTGCATCTCGCAAATGGTGCGCAGGAGGCACGCCTTGCCATCCATGCCGAAGGTGGCCAGAAAATCCTCGACGACGCCATAGAGCAGGACACGTTCGCCGCCATGGAAGATGTGCTTGAGGCCAGCGGGCAGTTCCGGATACTGCAGCATATCCTCGACCCTGAAGGGTTTGCTGTCATCCTGCGTGCTGCTCAGATCACGTTTGCGGCGCTGCACATGCAGATAACGTGAGACATACTCGCCGACCATTTGGCCAGCCCCATGGCCAAAGGAGCGCGCAAAGAAGGGCAGATCACCCAGAGGATTCTGATTGTCCGTCAGGCCGAGCTTATCAAAGTCAACTGGAATTGATTTCATTTTTTATACGATTTATTCTGTTAGCAAAAACTACAACAACTCACTCGTGACGGGAAAACTGATGGTCAGATTGGAGAAGAAGCCCTCGGGCGGATGTCGGACCAATGGCATCGCAATTGTTGGCGTAAATGTCAGCGAGGTGCCCGGCGGCAGCGCCAAGCGGCCATCGTCTGTGATCCAAACGAGGCGCTTCTTGCGTATATGCGCCGCATTCCCATTCGCATTCGCAGTCGCAGTTGAGTCTAATTGCGGTTGGGCCTCCGCATCCGCCAGCCGCTGTGCCTCATGCATGGCTGCGGCTGTCCAGAGGCAAATTAGCAGCAGCAGCAGCAGCTGTGGCAGCGGCAGCAAACGCAGTCGGCGCAGGCACACACGCATGCTGCGTAATCGGCGAGATAGAGAGAGAATAGAAGAAAACGAAAGACTTAGACAACGAACTTGGCCACACAATATATGAATGATTTAACTGTTGTATAACCGCAACATAAACAGCAAACATTCTAAATAACCAGCAATAGCACAATTGGCAACTGGTTTTTCGGTCGATGCCGGGATCGCCTGTTAACCAGTTTGGGAAAGCTTGGCTAACATTTAAGCACCGTTAACAGCAGATTCTGATTGCAAGCGGCAATTTGCAGCTCAACAAATGCGATATCAATGCTGCTGCTGCTTCTTCTTGCTCTTCTTCTTCTGCGCAGTGAAAGCATCCAATGGATATGGATATATCATTCTAGACCTGCCGCGCGGCTAGTTTCACTCAAAAAGGAGCAGCAGAAACATGCCGCAAATGGAACACTTTTAAATGGGGGACCCCCGCCCCCCTCCCTTCACCCACTTTAACACCATATTTGTGGGCAATTTCCAAGACGCACTTTTAGCTCTAGTGAGCTCTGGCACAAATATGTTGTTGTTGTTGCTGCTGATGATGATGCAATCTGGCCGGTTGCACAGGATTCTGCATTAGAGCGCTGTCAAATTCTAATGCACTTTCCCAGAGCCTGCAAATTTTCAAAGGCCAACTGGTTCTAACCAGCAACTGGCTCAAACGTGATTTAGTTTTTAGCTGGCGGGGCAAAACAAAAAATATTTGCCAAGAAGAATGCGGCCGCTGCAAGGGTTTTTTTTCTCTCCAGTCTCAAAGTTTCACCCCAAAAAAAAAATGGAAAGAAGAAAAACCAAAAATTGAATTTGCATTTGAAACACAACAAAAAAACAGACAGACAGACAAAACAACATGACAGGCGTAATGACAGGGGGCGGGGGGGCGCGTCTGGGCTGTTCAAACATTTAGACCATAATTAGCTGCGAGTGCAACAGGTGCAGCAGCTTTTGAGCCAGAAAGAGAAACTGGGTCAGAATCGGTTGCAATTGCTGGGCACATTTTAATTTCACTGCTCAAGAATTCGCTGCGTGTGATCTGATGTGTCTATGGAACGCAAAAATAAGTAAGAGTGCTCTAGGCGAGAGTGCATGACTCACAGATGCCCTGTAGAAACTTAGTCTAAGTTATGAATCTATAAAAATGTAAATGCTTAAAAAAAAATGTTCGTTGCAGGCTTTCTTAGGGTTTGAACCAGCGCGTCCTGTCTTTAAGTTCAGCATGTGCAGCCTGGTTTTTCAAATCTATTAACTCCGATTTTGTTACAGTTCTTGGATTGTCATATATTTAAATGCAATTATCTAAAATTTTCGATTCATAAGAAAGAGTTTGATCTCTACTCAAAATATCCAACTGCGAAATATGGGAACTGGGTCTGAAACCCACTTCAATTGCTTCATTTATGGTAAAAATATGGGTCCGGCAAGTCATCTTAAGGTTCAGTTCATGATAAAATATAAAGTGAGTGAGAGCGAACTTATACAAAGCTAAAATATTCTTTATCTATTCACTTTAAGCTATCATAATCTCCGTAACATCCTATTAAGACCGAGACTAAGATTTGAATGCGTATAATAGACGATACACGCAAACTTATGCTTCGAATTGAAGTTCTTATAAATTGTATTGAGATATCCCAGCCCAAGGACATAGTGGTATGGGTTTAGTTAATCGTCGCAATCCAGATCATATATAATAGATGGAATCGATGATGCGAGCTGCTGCCTAGTATATCGATTCGCACAACTTAAATATACCCTATTTCAAGCACATTCAATGAGTACAGGGTATGGCAACGCACTCGACTAGTTGCCGCTCGTTGACAATGACAGACTGACGCTGGCCAGTGGCAGTGAACTTGTTAAGGATAGTTTTTGATTTCTATAGCAAATCAGAGCAACGCCTCCGGCGACAACAGGCACGCAACATACCAACTGTCGGTCTGTCGGTCTGTCAGTCTGGCATGCAGCCGAAGAGTGAAAAGATTTGCAACTTATGGCGAATTAGTGCGAGCTGTTAATTGCACTCAAGCGACATATACAGACATATACTACATGCGAAATTTTTGTTTCCTGTTACACAGAAATGCAATCAACAGGCAATTTAATGCAACGACAACAATCAAAACAACAATAAAACGAGTCGATAAAAAGAATTCTCGGCGACAAAATCGAAAATGAAATTGAAATTGAAATTTGGGTTAACAGGTTGAGTGCAGGCAAAAACAATATGGAAATTAAAATTTATCAACTTGTTGCATACACACAAAATATATGCATATTGCTTGCCAGCAAGTTCGTGTCCTAAGTCTTTTGTTTTATACACGCCGCATTGCAACATCCGCGCGCGTCTGGCGCTGCATATTTAATTAGAAATAAAAACACATTTTTGGGAAAGGCAACTGGGCAAAGGAAAGTGCAAGTGATGTCCACACACATTTATATATATATATGTATATAATGTCAGTCGCTGCGTGATGCGCATGTGAAAATCGCCGTTTGATATCAAGCCACAGAAATCAATCAAATTGAAGAAAAAAATTTGGTGTAGAAAGTCGGTTTGTTAGCAAATTGTTTGCGCTTCCTCTTTGGCTGCTTACATAAGTCGTTGGCTTATCGAGAGATCTTAATGGAACGCTCGGCTGCTCCTTGACCCAATTGCGGCTGCAGACGCAGATCTGCACAGTTTCTGTTTGTACGTTTTAGGGTCGCAAATTCTTGACACGATTTTTTGTCACTTTTTGTTTTGTTGTTGCAGCCACGCCAACGCACGTTTTTTTTTGCTGTGTCCTTAACTGTAAACCGTTATGAGTTGCACACGTTTTGAATAGGTAGACGAAGCTTAAGAGGCAGAGCAAAAAAGCAACCGCGCGCGCAAACGTTTCAAATTCAACTAAAGCGGCCAACGGCTGAGCCAAACGATAAAAAGCCGCCACGACAATGCACGAGTCTCTGACGGGGGGGGGCAGCGGGCGCGGAGGCGCGGGGGCGAGACATTGGCAGAAGCTACCCAAAAGCCAAAAGCGACAAACCAGTATGAAAGACATGGACTTGACCAAGGCATAGATTGGCTGCCTAGCTTTGACTGTATTTGATTTCCTCTTGGCCAAAAAAACAGACAGACAGAGGCAGCGACATTAGCTAGACATGAGCTATGCTCTGGGCTGGGCTAGCTAGGAAGTGCAGTGAGTCATGGTCCTCCAAAGAGATGTGGGTCGAAAAGATGTAGGTGCAAAAAACCGCTCCGCGAGCAAATTGGTTTCACTTCGATCTGAGTTCTTGGCCGGGCCTTGTTCAACTTTCCATGCGAATCGAATGCGACAGTGCGTACAACCTATGCGGTTTTCCAATCCACTTGGTCATCATCAAGGCGTTTGGCCAGTTGTCCAGGCGCTTGTCTATTTGGCGCATGCCAAGAACATGTTTATTGGAAAGTGAGTCTAAGTCTAGAAGTTGTGTGTTTCGGCTTTAAATTGGGTCAAGGTTCTGCATATGGTAAAAACCTATAAAAATTTCATTGGCGAAAATTCCAATGAATATAATTTTCCAACTTAATCAATATTTATTTACAGCTCAATTAAGACAATTTTGTAGTTTAAACGGCGCCATCAGTTAGTACGTGGTGAAAATTTATTGAGCCACATGTAAATACAATAAATCGTTATCAGAGAGCCACGCGTACGTGCTGTTCGCATTAATGAAGCGATGCAAAGTTGACGATTGACATAATTTCGCACAGTCAATCGCTTTCCATTTGTTATTGCCTCATTTAAATAAGCCGCAATCCATTTTCGATCGTCTTGCATAATGTCGTAGGCTTAAAAACGTTTTCAGCGTGCAGCAAATCCCATTCAAATTTTAACGTCTGCGCTTTATTGCGGCATAGTGCTGCCAGACAGCGCAAAGTTAGTGCTGCCAGACAGCGCAAAGTTAGTGCTGCGCAACAGTGCTGCGGGCTGTAAACGATAAAAAGCTAAGCACGCATTGTTATCGATAATTTATTAGATATATATAAGTGCCATATAAAATATATATGTGAGGACAGTTGTATGCATGTATATAATAATGATCAATTTAGACAATTGTAAATGCGTCTTTCAGAATGTTGATGTACTTTTCAGCACCCTCGTTATTGGCCTCCTGATAATAGGGCAGCTCACTCAGACGTGCCAGCCAGGCAATAATCTTTGGATACTTCTCCGGATCGATAGGCAACATGGCGGGCAACGAGGAGGCCGTAGCCGCACAGCAGAAATCAGCAATGGTCACGGTGTCGCCGGACACATAGGGATTGTCACCCAGGAACTTCTCCAGATGAGTATAGCCATCGATTATATTGTCGATCTTCTCCCGGGGCACCTCAGACACCTTCTTGTAGAAGTATGGCACGCATATGTTCCTCAAAGACATGAAGAGCACACTGGCATCAAAATATAGGCGCTGCTCCACATGCGCCCTCTTCACCAGATCCTTCGGATACAGCTCATCCGACTTGCCATACTTATCCACCAGATAGCAGCATATGGCATGAGAGTCCCAAATCAAAGTTCCGTCGTCATCCAACAAGGGCACCGTGTGCTGTGGATTCTTCTTCAGAAACTCCTCAGTCTTATGCTCGCCAGCAAGTAGATCAACATTCTTATATTCATAGGGCAAGTCCAGAGCCCGAAGAGTCAGTAGACAGGCACGTACTGGAGGACTAATGTCAATGCCATAGAGCACAATATTCGACATGTCGAGACAATAATTGGGAACAACACACAACACAAATCACAGAACACAGAACAAGCAACAATTGCAATCGGGGCGTTGCCGGCTACTGTTTGTGGCACTGCAACTTTTGGGGCTTCATATATGCCGGTCGAGCTTTTTATAGAGCTCCCGAGCCGACCGCAGGGCACTATATACTATGAAAAAGCTTTTCAAGCCACAGTCAGTAAATTAATTGAAATAAACAAAATTGTTGCCTATGTACACTCAACTAGTAAGTCATTCGAAACCCAGCTGCAAAACTCATTTAATAAACAATTAAAGTATATGCTGTGAAATTCCATTTAAATACAACTTGTACATATATATTTTTAGCTACACTCAACTTCTATTTAAAGAATATCTCGTTACAATTGTAATATCTTATCAGTAGACGCATTAACTAAACCAAAAAGATAAGGCGGAATAAATATTTGCAGTGCAAACCAACGATAATCGTAATAAGCTACTAATCGAGATTAATTTATTTTGTTTATTATATATAAGCCGGACATTAGTTCATGACAAAAAACTATTATTCAATGCATTTGCAATTAATTGCATTCAAAATGAAATAAATTCGCGCCTTAGAAAAACAGTGTTGACAAATGCTGTATGAGCAGTACTGCATAATGTCACCAACTAGCACACACCTGCAAGCAGCGAAAACTGAATACACATAGTGCTGAAAAATAAAATACCCTGCAATGCATACAACAGCACACAAAATGTTAGATAAAGCTAAATTGGACAAAAAAGTTGTATGTAACTGAGAAAAATATACAAATAAAGTGATAACTTTATATATTTATAGCAAATATTTGGTCATTTAGAACGCCAGTATTTTTCAACTTACCCGAATTCCAACGAAGCGATATACCCTCTGCAGCAATGTTGACAGGGCATAACAACACAGTCTTTGTGCAACGCATTTTCTTTACTATCAACCAATTAAAACAGAAAATTAAACATTTTCCATGCCAAACAATAACTAATTGCACAACAGCTCCAACCAGCAGACACTGAAGGAGCCGCAACGCTTCGTGGCTGGACAGAATGACGGCGCGCAATCCCCAAACATTGATGGCGCTGCCCAGCGAGGAGAATTTTGATTTCCTCTTCAAGATCGTGCTAATCGGGGACTGTTGCACGGGCAAGACATCCATATTGCAACGCTTCAAGACGGGCAACTATGTGGAGCGTCACGGGAACACAATCGGCGTCGACTTCTCAATGAAAACCATTGAGGTCGAGGGCAAACAAGTCAAGGTAAATCGTATTCGCAAATGCCAATGTCGCACACACACATAGCTGAACGTATTTCATGGTTGTAGCTACAAATCTGGGATACTGCCGGCCAGGAGCGCTTCCGCACCATTACCCAGAGCTACTATCGTGCCAACAACGGCGTCATAATTGGTGAGTAGACCCGTGAAACGGTAACGCCCAAAGAATTTGTCGAGCAACTTGTTATCATGACCCGCGGGCCTATTGTCATGGCCTGTTAGCGATAAGAGGCCGCCGCCGCCGCCGCACACTTTTATGTTATTATCGGGGTACTGTGATTTTAATAGCTATTCGCCGTGGCACATTCGCCGTGCACTCTTATCACAATGCCAATTAATGATGTGTTTGCTTGTCATTACAACAGTTTACGACATCACAAAGCGATCGACGTTCGCCAATTTACAGAAATGGATTGAGGAGGTGCGCAGGTATACGGCTTCCAATGTGCTCATCATATTGATTGGCAACAAATGTGATCTCGAGGAGGAGCGTGAGGTGGACTTCGAGGAGGCGCGCCAAATGTGTCAGTATATACCTGAAATTCTGTTCGTTATGGAAACATCCGCCAAGGAGAACACCAATGTGGAAGACGCCTTTCGCTGTCTGGCCACCGAACTGAAGGTCTGCTCCACATTAAACCCCGGCTGCAATGGCATTTTATTAACGTTTTAATTCGCTCTCCTTCTCCTTTGCCAGCGCCAACACGATGCCAGCAGTGTGCAGGACGACATGGACGTCAACACCGTGCAGCTGGGCCAGAGTAAGCCGCTCAAGAGTTGTAGCAGCTCGTGCAATCTCACATAGACATCTCAATTAAATTTGCTTTCCGTTTTTTCTTTTATTTTGTGATCATATTTTCGTGTGGCTATAATTTAGTATTTATATATATATATGTATTTTAATCTTGAAACTGTTAATTTTTTTGTGTGCAAACTTAATTTATTCATTTAACATACATACATACATATTTATATATATATTTATTTTGGTGGCTAGAGTACAAAACAATCTCACACATCACATGAACAACGGCAAATGCAAATGCAAATGCAAATGCAAATGAATTAACGACGTCAATTACAATATGCATTATGTTCAGTTTGTAACAGTAAAAATACGTCCAATTCTGTATGTGTAACGAAACAATTTTCGAAATAAACTTGTTTATTTTATAAATTTATTATGGAAGTAATTAATTGGCTGCTTAGATCGTAACATTAGCATAATCTTAGTACACATATAAACAAAAATATGTGTATATATATTTAATATTTTACTGAGGACTTTGAAGTGTCTGTGTATGTGTAAACAAAGGCAGGAGTCTTTAAACTAAAGCACTGTTAAAAACATTGGCTTGGCTCTTTCTCAACATTCTCAACGCTTACAGATTTCGTTCGTATAATTAGGTGTATATATATATATGTCTTTACATTTTACAATTATATCAAAATTGATTTATTTGTCTAAATTAATTAACTATAAACTAGCGGGGTCCGTATATGTGTCTGTCATTTGTTCTTAATGCGCTGCGCAACCCATTCGAGTCCCTGATACAATCCCTCGCCGGTCAGCGCACAACACGCCTGTATGTGCCACTGGTGCTTCTTGATGGACGTCAGGTCCAATTGTCTGGAGATTTCTGCGGCGGACATTGCGCCCTTCAGATCCTGCTTGTTGGCATAGACAAGCAGGCTGGCTTTGCTCAAGTCCTCATGCTGTAGCATGCGATAGAGCTCCTCCCGTGTGACGGCCAAACGCTCCCGATCCGTCGAATCGATGACCATAATGACCAGCTCTGTGTTGGTATAGTAGGTGCTCCAGGCGGCGCGCAAGCTCTGCTGCCCGCCCAGATCCCATACCAGAAAGTGTATATTTCGCCAGACGACTTCCTCAACGTTGGAGCCAATCGTTGGACTGGTATGGACCACTTCGTTCATCAGAAACTGGTACAGTATTGTTGTTTTGCCCGCATTGTCGAGGCCAACCATTACCAGTTTGTGCTCCTCGTTGCCAAACATACGCCACAGCCGTGACAATAACAGACCCATTTGAAGATTTTGTTAGTTTTCGCGCGCGGGTGTGTGGAAACGAACGTATTTCTTGTTAATTGGTCACAAAAACCACAATCGCAGGTATCGCAATCTATGCGCATATATGCATATGTGTATGTATGTATATACGTCTGTTTGTGTACGCGTGCTTGCGTTTGTATGTGTGTGTGTGTGTGTCGTGCGTAAGCGTGTGGGTCGTTGTCGTTCACGATGCCTTTGTTGTTGCGCAGCGGAAGGCCAACTGTAAATTATGCACTCACACTCAGTTCGTCTGGTACGCACCACAACACGCTGCACTTGGCTGTTTTCAAATTAATTATTGTTGGCTATTTTTATTACTGGGCAGACACTTGTTGTTATTGTTATTGTGATTGCACGTAGATTTAGGTAGGCTTTGCTTCAGATTTTGTGTTGAAACAAAAAAAAAATTGCTCACGATTTCAGCTAGAGATGTGAACACCATATCGATATATCGTTATAGCGATGCTGCGATATTTATAGCACAGCCGACAATCGATAACTCATCCAAATGGCACTGCTAACAACGATCGGCTTAACTTGTTTTTGATATAAACATGTTTTATATTTTAGAAAAGATTTGAATGCTAGATAAATGTGGAATATCCTATATACAAATTTCGCTAAGCTAGCTACGTCATCAGAGCTAAAGTGGTCTTTTAAGAGAGGACAAATAAGAGCTTTATAAAAATATATTATTTCGCAACGCTCAAAACGCGTTTCTTTAACCCATTATCAATTTGTTTGTAGCGTATTTTCCCTAATTAGATTTTTATTTTTGAAAGCCGACATATAAACTTCTATATTTTTTCAACTACATTTGACATATGTATGGGTCTTTAGTACCTTTTAAACTGCTTCGAGAATATTTTCAAAAAAATTATAGTTTTCAACTTACGTATTTGTTAATAAAATGGATGTCCTCGAAACATTTCTAACGTGCTACCAGTTTCTGACAGACCCCATAACTGATCTAGATCTGGATCTTGAGTTTACTGAGAAAATTTCGGAAAAATGTGAAGAATTTTTGAAAAGGAAGCATCCGGTTAAGCCGCGTTTTGTGAATATCGACAAGTATACCAAAAATGAAATAGTTATGATGGACGAGCTAATACCCTCGCCGAACGTTCATCATGTTTTGGAGGTGGCCATCGATGGGTTAATTGGCGACATTCATTTTTAGTGCAAAAACCAAATTTTCGTATATTTCAAATCGCAAAATTAATCGTTTCACAATTAAATTGGGGCCAAAAATAAAGCCCAAATAACATACAAAATTAATAATGAAAAATTACATTAGAAAATCTAATAAATGTAGCACTCAAGAATCACTAAACATTCCCATATATAACAAGTCTAAGGAAGAGTATGGAACAAATACGTTTGCTAGGGCTTTGCGTAGGGCCTTCTGGACTTGGGCTTCCGGATGTGCCGCTGGGCCTGTTTCTGGGGCGGCGCCAGCTCGTAACGGAGTATTATGCAGCGTCTATCAAAGAAACTCTTGAGTTCCTTGGGCTCATAGCGATGGCCCAGCTGTTTCAGATGTAGATAGATCTCCTGCAGATCGATGGGCTCATACCTGAGCACGGTCTCGTGCAGGTCGGGATTGGCACAGAGCAAATTGTGCCAGGCTATGTGCAGCGGCAGCAGCGGCTGCGGCGTCTTCTTCGAGACATTCGTCTGCAGCACAAAGCATTCAAAGTCGTCGCAAAGCGCAGGCGGCAATTCTTGCGAGAAGCGCAACAGCTCGGATCCGGAGGCGTCTCGGAATTTGAGATCTGCCTTTGGCTCTGCTTCGTCGCTGCTGGCGAGTCGCAGCCGCCCGATGTCGGATTTGCCAGTGCGGGCAGTGATAGGCGTGGATTTGGAGCGCGGCATGGTCACTTGCTCGGGCTCCTGCTGCGCTGGGGGCAGCATAATGGGATGAGTTTGATTATAAATGTATTCCAACAATTTGACAGCCTGTTTGCGTTTTAGCGGCTTGATGCCACAATTGTACAGCTGCTGCAGCAGCTCCGCATCGGTTAGATGCACAAAATCCGGCTTGGGTGTGCGACAGACGCGTACCTCGTACACCTGACCATTAAGCTCCAATTGCTCCCAAGTAGTTGCTCTCTTTGCTGGACTAGGCGGCTCCACAGCTGCGGCAGGCTGTGGCAAGCTCTCCGCATTGATCTCGCCCAGGAGCAGTCGATCCAGTCCACTTGGCATTGTGTCTATTGTTGCATCTTTATTGCTGTTTTGGAACACCAGACGATCAAAGTCATCCAGCTCATCGGCTGGCTCCGAGATATCGTTAAGCAGCTCTTTAAATTTATGGGTGCAGCTGCTGGAGTAGCGTTTCAAGGGCACCTCCGGCGGTGTCTCCAAAAAGGATGCGTCTGCCCAATCTATTGGCACTTGGCACGCCTTGGTCGACGGACTCTGCAGCTGGGAGAGCGTAAAGGGCTGCGAGATGGCTGCATCCAATATTCCAAACTCGGCGCGTTCTTTGCTCAGGGCACTTTTGTTAGGCGAGCGCGAATTGCAGGATTTGTTGGAGGGCGTGGGTGAAGCATCCAGATATGCATCCAAATCCTCCACAGTCTTAAAGAAAGGCACGCTTTTGATTCTCGTTAAAGGCAAACTGTTGCTATCATCGAGTGCCTCCCGGCACGTTTTGTCCGCTTTCCAAATGGAGTAATTGATTTCCTCATCAGACAGCAGAACACCCTCATTATCCTCCTCATTATCCTCATCGCCGCTGTCTTGGGTCAAATCAATGCTCGCATCCGAGTGACTAAAGGCCAAGGCGGATTTATCCGTAAAGGAGTTGCTTCGGCGGGTCAGCGGACTCTTGAAACTCTGCTCCAGCTGAGCGATCTGTCCGGGCGACTGTGTAAAACTGCAGCTGCGCTGGAATGCATCTCGTGTGCTGTCCAATTGGCTAAAGCTGAGTATTGAGTCCTTGAAAACATGTGAAGTTGTGGCCGTGGTTGGATTTGAATTGGCGGTTCCATTTGTGCTTATATTAAGGCAATTGCTATCCAGCTGGGACTGATCAAAGACTGCCTTGTCCCGAGCTGTTTGATAAGCGTATTTTGCATATAATGCATCCGAAATTTCGCAATCCACCGCCTGGCCGCTTAAGTCCTGCTCCAATCCATCGATATCTTCATCGAATTCTATGGTTGGACTCTGCGGAAAGATGAGCTGCTCGAAAAGGGATTTTCTTGATGTGGTTTCCGGTGAATCGTGCTCTTCTGTCAAGTCTATAAAGCTCTCTTGAGATGGTGCTAGAAAAGGCATAAAGGTTATTTTGTGTACTTTAAGGAATTATAGAGAAAATGCTCACCTTGAAGACTTCTGCGCTCCGCTTTAACATCTTGGACAGTCTTCACTAAAACAAAGCAAGAGATTCTTTTTTAAATCAGTTGTTATTGATTTATTATTTCCATCTTTAATTGTTGTCTTTAATCTTCGGCAAACCCGCAGATAAGTGTTATATCTTGTTTTTTCTTTACCTTCATCGCTGGAGTACACCTCATAGCTGTTCATGTCGGTCGAGCTTATGTTCCTATAGACCTTTAACGAAAAGTTCTGCATCTCAAGAGCAGCCGCCGTGCTGCACGTGGGAGGCGTCTCGCTCTCTGGCTCGTCATCCGAATCCGCGAAGAGATCGGGTGATATGCAGCGTGTGCTTTGCGTGGGTAGGCTCAGCATAGCTGATGTGCTCGGTTGCAGGTTCTCCTTCTCCCGCTCCACTTCACTCAGCTCCGGCATCATTCTGGCACGCTTATCCGGCGGCTCTTTCAGCGAAGAGTCGCTGCTTAATGAGATTCGCACTTGATCAACTGGCAGTTGGATGTTGTCCTGTTTTACATCTGTTTTATCAACTGTCATTTGGCTATCATCCTGCACTAGATTGTCCACTAACACTTGACTATCATCCTGTATCATATTGTCGGCCACCAGTTTTTCCAGCTCATTCAACTCCTCCTCCACTGCGCTTGCACCAAAATGCGCCTCCAGCTCTGCGTAGACCTGCTGCAGTTGCTGCTGCCGGCGCTGACTCGCTGCGCTGGGTCGCTTGGGCGACAAATCGCGTCCCTGTATGGCCGACCAGTTTTTCAGCAAATGATGCGCCGGCGCTCGACTAACTTCTATTAAATCCTGCACATAATATGCACTCAAATTCGTTAGAGGTTCTGCGCTGGGCTCGTGGGTGATGCGGCGCTCGGCAGAAGCTGCCAATTGCAACAGATGCTTGCTGATCAATTCAAATGGCGGCTGATCCTCAGCGCTTGGCAGCTTGGTGCGCACCTGTTGCGCCATCAAAGCAGCCACCTTGGTCTGCAGCTTTTTCTCCTGCGCCGCCGGATTGCGTAAGGTGAGCGGCGTAAATTTATTGGCCCATTTGCAGCGTTTGCCGCGCTTGCCCGGCGCACCAGGCAAGGCGGCAATGGAGAACAGGTTGTAATCTGGAAGAGTTAACAAATTAGAGACTATCAAAGGGGTGCTCCACTTTAACTCACCCTCCTTGGCAGCTGTTCGAAAGCCGTACTTTTGCAGCTTTCGGCGTACATTCTCCGTTGACTGATTCGCTTTGTCATCGAGCAAATTAACCACTTCCTCGCGCTCATCCTCTGTGTCTTCCAGCCGCAACCGGCCATGTTTCTCCGCCTCCGATTTGGACAATACCAGTGCCATTTCAATGTCATCGGGACTAAAGTTATCAGCTATGCAATGCTGCGCCGTGACCTCCGCAAAGAGCTGCTCGTTCCGCAGGAAGTCGCTGATGGTGGGCTGCTTTTTGCCACGCCCACCGCGTGCCCGCCGCTGTGTTGCACTGCTTTTCAGTTTGGGCGCCTTTTTGGGCTTGACCACATCTTTGATGGGCTCAACGTCGCGTGTTTTTTTGCTCCTAGGTTCCGCATAGAGATTCTCGGGCTCAGCAGCTGCGGCACTGCTGGAACTCTCCTGTGTATTGAAATATTCTGACAGCGTCATGGGCGATGTGGCCTTGGTGCTGCGCGTGGAGCTTTAAGTGGTAATACAAACAAATGAGATTTAGTAAAAGTAGAACATTTTATTAGTTAATAACTAAGACACAACAAAGTGAAGATCGCTGCAGCTACCTACCGCAGCTTTGTGTTCGCGGGTTGTTGTAGTTTCTTAAAGTTTGCACGGCGTGTTTGTCTGTCCATTTTGTTGTTGTGGTTGTAGCTTCTTAGCGTTCCGTGCGCAATTTCTCGCTCTCCTCGATGGCTTCTCTGATGAATTTTGCGGGGCGTGGCGCGGAGAAATCAAACAAAGCGTGACGATCTTTCTCCTGTTCGGTGACTGTCAACAGGTCCTTGCACAGCTTCTCGTTGGCAATGCGTTGCATGGGCGTCAGGCTAGACAAAGGGATTTATTTGTTTATAAATAATGACGCAGAGTTCCCTTCACCCGAACTCACCTCCAAATCCCGAAAAGCACCGAACCGGCGGCAAGTAGAGCGTAGGCAAAACGATTACGATATGTAAAGGACGGTGTGCCGTGTGTGCGTCTAGGTTTACGCTTGCTAGTATCAATTGATGCCATTACCGTGCTGCCCAGCTGTCTCTCTATATCGCGATTATATAATTTAATACATTTTTTGTGCGACAATAAACATCCAAACAACATGCAAATGATGAAACTCTAGCTAACCAGGGCTGCACAAAAGAGGAACTTGGAATTAGAAGCTCAATACTAGTTTTTATACTTACACAACTGACAACTACAACTAAAGTTGATATTCTAAGTGTTTTTCTATGTTTTTACTAATTTTTTACCTATTAAAATCAGTTATTTCTAAAAAAGGTACTTATTTATGAAATACATATGTTTCTTGCAGCCCTGGCTGTTACCTAAAAATACCCGCACTGGTAACGATTACGTTATGGAATGAGTAATTAACGTTAATTAGCGCACAGCGTAGGAGAGAAATCAAAATCGAATTTAGTTTTATTTGAACGCTAATAAAGTTCAGGTGCTCGAACGGCCGCTGCTGTGCCGTGCAAGTGAGTCGTGTGTAATCGAAAATACAAAAACAACACACGCTGTAAGTGCAGCTGTAAGTGGACTGTGAAATCTTTGATAAGGGAATGTAACAAAAACTAATGCGTAAACTACTACGCAGGCAAACAGCATCTCGGAACGATAGACAAAGAGTACAGAGTACAGTAAACAATATAACGAATGAGATAACAAATAAAGCAGACAAAGCAAAAGAGTTGGAAAAAACACGCACACATATACGCAACTACAATTGTTTGTATGTTGTGTGTATGCATGTGTGTGCGTGTTCGTGAGTGGCACCAGATACAACTGCATTTGCATACCCTGGTGTAGGAGTATTTGTATTATGTTATGAAGTGTGTAACGCAATGGACTGAAACGCCATAAAGGATATGCATATATATATATCAACTTTTACTATATAAATAAAATCTTATCAGCAACGGAGCACTATGAAAAATAGTTTCTATAGATTTAAACGATTAGCAATTAAATCATAGTACATTCATGTTCTTAATCTGCAAGGGTATTTAAACTTCGATCTTATAAAAATAGTTGTTTGTTTTTTGTTTCTTTTGCAGAAATAAGCGAAAAACGAAAACAAATTCGATATCAATACATTATAAAAAAAATAAACGCCCTTTTGCTGCGGATCGTCACAGACGGCCAGTATTTATCCATTTAGTGCAATTGTGTCCAGTGAGCCGCTTAGTCATGGCTCGCGAAGATGAAGAGCGCATTGTGGACAACGAGGAGTTGGCCCAGCCGGAGGAGACAGCGACGAGCCCGAGTCGCGGACGCGAGGACAATGAACTAGCGCTGCCCACGGGCGGCTGCTGTATGCCGTCGAGCACCTGTCATCGCTTCCAGGCGCTGGTCTTTATGTGCCTGCTCGGCTTTGGCTCGTACTTTTGTTACGATAATCCCGGCGCACTGCAGACGGTCTTCAAAAAGGATCTGGACCTGAGCTCCACACAGTTTACGCTCATCTATTCCATCTACTCGTGGCCCAATGTCGTGCTGTGCTTTCTGGGCGGCTTTCTGATCGATCGCCTGTTCGGCATACGTCTGGGCACGATTATCTACATGTTGATACTGCTGGTGGGTCAGCTAATCTTTGCCAGCGGCGCCATTATCGACGCCTTCTGGCTGATGATAGTCGGCCGCTTCATCTTTGGCATCGGCGCCGAATCACTGGCCGTCGCCCAGAACAGCTACGCGGTGCTCTGGTTCAAGGGCAAGGAGCTAAACATGGTCTTCGGCCTGCAGCTGTCGGTGGCGCGTTTCGGCAGCACCGTCAACTTTTGGGTGATGCAGCCCATCTACGATTACGTGAGCAAGTTCTACGAGAGTTATCGTGCGCTTGGCGTCGTCCTGCTGCTGGCCACGCTCACCTGCGTCATGTCGCTGATCTGCGCTCTGATACTCGGCTGGATGGATAAGCGGGCGGAGCGCATAATGCAGCGGAATAATAATCCCTCGGGCGAGATACCCAAACTAACGGATGTCTTCACGTTTAAGGCGCCCTTCTGGATGGTCTCCATCATCTGTGTGGCCTACTATGTGGCCATCTTTCCGTTTATTGCGCTCGGCCAGAAGTTCTTCATGGATCGCTTTGGCTATACGCCGGCGCAGGCAAATACCGTCGACTCGCTGGTCTATCTAATTGCGGCGGTGTCCTCGCCCATCTTTGGCTTCATCATCGACAAGCTGGGTCGCAATGTGACCTGGGTGATGAGTGCCACAATTACGACAATTGGCGCACATGCGCTGCTCACGTTTACCCAGCTAAATCCGTATGTGGGCATGATTATTATGGGCCTGTCCTATTCCATGCTGGCCGCCAGCCTGTGGCCCTTGGTTGCGCTCATCATACCCGAATATCAGCTGGGCACCGCCTACGGATTTTGTCAGTCCGTACAGAATCTCGGCCTGGCTGTCATCACAATTGTCGCCGGCATCATAGCCGATCACAGCGACGGCGATCATACCTGGGTGCAGCTGTTCTTCATGGGCTGGCTGACCGTAGCGCTGATTGCCACCGGCGTCATCTGGGCCTACGATAAGAAGCATCGCGGCAATCTCAACATGACGCCGGCGCAGCGTGCAATATTCATCAACTCGGCCAACTATCAGAATTTTGAATAATCCGAACAATACCCAACACCAGCATCCTGTGGCCTCCCCCAACGTTAAATGTTATTCCATTTGGAAAGTGAGCTCTATGCGGGCACTATGAAATTTTTACGATTATGTTATGAAAGTCCGGGTTTGAATGATCTTTGAGATGATAATGTGATGAGCGGCCCATCGAGCCGCAAAATTGGTATTTACTAACTGGAATTGTTTGTCAAACACACACTCACACACACACAACATACACATACACACATCTATATATATATATATATTAATTTTATGCTATGTATTTTTAGAGCAATTTATTATTAATACAATTACTGCATGTTTATTTTCTCCGTGTACATGTTTTACAGATTTTAAATATTGAAAGCAAAAACTCGCGTTTAAGCAAAATGTTTAACAATAAATCATTGATATTCCATATTAAATGTCTTTAATTCAATGATTATCGTGTAATTATGTAGATTTATATTGAAATATAGCAACGAAAACTCACATTTTTACTGCATTTTTTTCTTGCGTAACTCACAAGTTTTTCAGCAGATGCTTTCCGAGAAATACGCCGGGCAACAACTGGAATGCGTATAAGAAATATGTTTGTTTTTATAATTTAAACTTTGATAAGGGGTTGGTAATAAAATATGCAATATATAGATGCAATTTTATAGGCTTGTGGATCTTTAACACAAAATCTACATAACTGCATTTTCGGGTGATTGTGTCCAAGGTATTTTTTATGATATAGTCAATGTTCCACTCATGTTGAAGGCAGGCTTTAGATGGAATATAGCTGAGTTTGGTTAAGATACCTTGAAAAACAAAGTAGTTTTTCTACAAAGGCTTTATTTTAGTCCAATTGTTAGGTTTTGAGTAGGTTTTCCATAGGTACATGCCCCTGCTCGGAAATGCAGTTTTCTAGAAAAACAAAAGAGTTTTTCATACAGAAAATCGCTTTGCTACCGATAGACCCTATGGACATTAACATGCGTAGAGGCTGACCTATGGAAAGTTTCTTGAAGATAGCTTCAAAACTAGGAGACTGGCTTGCCTAGAAACAAGGCGACGAACCAACAATTGATAGTGTTCACAAAGTACATATACTTTATATTATAAAACGCGATTATCATACGCTCTGCGAACGTATAATTGTTAAACATAGCCCATTTCTTGCAACTAGCTACAGCCGAACTTGGCAAAGTATCTGAAAGGCGACCCAAATTTGACGTAGTCAATATAAATACAGAGACATTTTGCCCGATCCGATCACAATGATTGCCACGTTTGCATTTATTTCAAAACATTTTAATGTCTGTGCGTCGCTCGAGCACCTCGATGCATTGTTTGCTGTCCAAACCGAGCACGCGCAGTTCATGCAGCGGCTTCGTCTTCTCCTCGGCCGTTTGGCCGCCGCGCAGCGTTTCGAGCAGCAATAAAGCCGTGCCCCGCGCCGCCGTCAGCAATTTGCCAGCGTCATGGATTCTAAATGAATGATAAACGATATAAATATGATATTTTAGCAAAATTCGAGTCGCTACTAATAATAAGATGACTCACCGCTTGAAGAGCAGCTCGGGCCGACGTGTGTATTGGCCGAAGAGCGCGAAGAGCAGCGTCATGTCGTAGTTGAATTGAGCGGCGCCCGCGGGCGAGAATCTGGTGTTCAACACCATGTTCTCCAGCATAAAGTCATCGATCTGCTGGGCCATCAGGCGCAGCGTCTGATTGAACAGATTGGCGGACAGCTCGCGCTCCAGATTGTGCAGCAGCGTGACCAAAACCTGAAACATTTCGCCGCCGCTGGGCGAGAGTATGAAGGGCTCCCGGCTATTCTGTTCGGGCATCGTCGGCCAGGCATCGTGGCGATAGTTCATTGACTTGGCCTTCATCTCGTTGACCGCCTTGTTGGCCAGATTCTTCATTAGCTGTCGCGCCCAGTGCTCCAGCTCGGCGACGGCGGGCTCAAACACGGAATTTATTTCGCTGGCATTCGGCCCCGCCAGCGCCGCATGCAAGTGCAGATAATGCACATTTTCACCCCATTCGCGCAGAACCATTATCAAATAATTGATGGCATTCAGCACGGGCAGGCTGGCCAAGGCGCCGCTGCTGTGCAGCTGCACCAGACGCCGCCGGAAACTGTCGATTAGCTCGAGTTGCAGCTGCAGAAACTGCAGCTGATGTCCGGGTTGGATGAGTGCATAATACCGATCCTTGATGGCGTCCAGCAGGCGCATAAATTGGTCCGCACATTTGGGTATCTTCAAGTCATCCTCGTAGGTGTTCGGATCGATCAGCTGGAACGGCGTCTCCGCCTGCAGTATCTGATCCATTTTCTGACCACAAACTGGGGAGAGTAAAAAAAAAGTGAGCTGAATTTCTAAGCCTATATTCAAGTCCAGCATACATTGCTCCTCCAGAGCGATCCAGCGCAGCAAGTACATGGGCTGTGTGAGCACTGAGATGGCGCTGGGAAAGCTGGCCGG